CACACGCCTTGTGGCATCAGTAGAGGCCACGTGGGGATCATTAACAAGGCACTTCTACCACTCTCAGCCAGGATGGTATCATAGGAAACCTAGCAGGGAACTGGAAATCCCACTTCCACCCAGAAATCATGAGGGGATCCCTCTCAGGTGTGAAAGGGGACAGAGTGGAGAACCTGGTCTTCTACCTCGACCTAGCAGTAATGAGGCAGCACCCCTTCCTTCGCCTTCTGGGACTGTGTCAGAGGAAGTCAGCTAAAATGGAAGGTTTAAATAAGATCAAGAATGTCATTGCATAATACCAAAATGTCTAGGTTTAATCAAAAATCATTTGTCATACCAGGAAGATCTCAAACAGAATGAAAAATGGCAATTAATAGATACCAACACTGAGATAAAAAGATGTTAGAATTACCTAACAAGGATTCAAAGAAACCATATAAAAATGTTTCAATGAGTAATTACAAATACACTTGAACAAACAAATGAAACAGTAAAATATCAGCAAAGAAATAGAAAATATAAGAAGAACCAAATAGAAATTTCAGAACTCTAAAATACAGTAATGGAAATAAAAACTCAATAGCAGAATGGAAGAGATAGAGGAAAGAATCAGTGAACTGGAAGGTGGAACAATAGAAATTACTAAATCTGAAAAACAGAAAAACTAGACTGAAAAAAAAATGAACTCAGCTTCAGGGATCTGTGGGGATACAACAAAAGATTTAATAGAGTGTCATTGGAGTCTCAAGAGTAGAAAGAGGGCAGAGCTGAAAAAATTACTCAAAGAAATAAAGGATGAAACTTTCCAAATTTGGCAAAAGATAAACTTGCAGATTCAAGAAGCTGTGTGAATCCCAAAGGGGATAAAACTGACTAGAGAAATCCACACAAAGACACATAATCGTCAAACTTCTGAAACTAAAAACCAAGAAAAAATATTGAAACAGCAAGAGAGAAAGAACACCTTATAGGAGAAAAGTTATTTGAACAACAGAAAAGTTCTTATCAGAAACCATGGAAGACAGAAAGAAATGGCACAGCATTTTTCAGGTGTTGGAAGAAAAAAAGTCAATGTAGAATCCCACATCCAGAGAAAATATCCTTTAGGAAGGAAGTGGGAAACAAAGACATTCTCAGATGAAGGAAAACTAAGAGAATTTGCCACCAGCAGACTTACCCTACAATGGCTAAAGTAAATTCTCTGTGCAGAAAAGAAATGATAAAAGAAGGAACCTTGGAACATCAGAAAGGAAGAAAGAACACGGTAAGCAAAAATATGTCTTTTACAAAACGATACAACTGTCCTTCTCTTGAGTTTTCTAAGTTATGTTTGATGGTAAAGCAAAAATTATAATGCTGTCTCGTGGTTCTGAATGTATATAGAGGACTATTTAAAATAATGTTATGGTAAACAAGTGAGGTTAATAGGACATAAAGAGAAAGATTTCTACACTTCCCTTGAAGAGATAAGATGATGATTTCAACAGACTGATAAGTTATGCATATAATTTAATACCTAGAGCAACTGCTAAAGAGAATTTTTACAAAGAGATATACTCAAAAGCACTACAGATAAATCAAAATGGAATTCTAAGAAATATTTAAGTAACCAACAAGAATGCAGGAAAAACAAAATAGAGTGACAAAAAAATAGAACAAACATAAAACAAAAATTAAAATGGTAGAATTAAGCCTTACCATATAAATAATTACACTAAACATAAAATTTAAAGAAATGGTTTGGCAGAGTGTTTTAAAACACGTGACTCAACTATATGCCATCTGCAAGAAACTCACTTCAAATGTAATGCTGTAGGCAAATTGAAAGTAAAAGGATGGAAAAAATATATCTTGTAAACATTAATCAAAAGCCTTCAGAATAAAAAAAAATTACTAGAGGCAGAGAGGAACATTATATAATGATAAAAGGATCAACCACCAAGAAGACATAGCAGTCTTAAATGTGTATGCACCAAGTAACAGACCTGAAAAATATGTGAAAAAGAATGATAGAAATGAAAGGAGAAACAGATGAATCTACAATTTTAGTTGGAGACTTCAGCAAAACTCAACAATTAGATAGACGGCTAAACAGAAAACCCACAAGGATATAAAAGAACTCAACAATATAATCAACCAACAGGATCTAATTGACGTTTATAGACTACTCCACCCAATGACAGCAGAATACACGTTCTTTTCAAGTGTCCATGGAACATATACCAGAATAAACCCTATCTTTGGCCATAAAACAAACCTTAACAAAATTTTAAAAATTGAAATCATACAGAGTGTGCTCTCTGACACAATGGGATCAAACTGGAAATCAATAACAGAAAGATAACAGGAAGATCATCAAACTCTTGGAAACTAAACAACACACTTCTAAATAATCCATGAATCAAACATGAAGTCTTAAGGGAAATATAAAAAGACAGTGAACCAAATGAAAATGAAAATATAACATATCAAAATTTGTGGGAGACAGCAAAAGCCATGCTGAGAGAGAAATTTACAGCACTAAATGCATACGTTATAAAAGAGGAAAATCAATAATCTAAGCTCCCTAATAATCCAATAATCCCTAATACTCTTTTTTTCTATTTTTAGAAAAAAGGACATCTGAAATAAACACAACAAAACTAAGCAGAATAAAGAAAATAATAAAGATGAGCAAAAATAAATGGAAAAATGTAGGATAATAAAGGAATACTGTGAACAATTTTACAAACGTAAGTTTGACAACTTAGATGAAATAGACCATACCTCAAAAAACGCAAGCTACCAAAATTCGCCCAACATTAAATAGATAAATGTGAATAGCTCTATAGCTATTAAGAAAAATAGATTTGTAATTTAAAATCTCCCAAAGAAGAAATCTCCAGGCCAGATGATTTCACTGGAGAATTCTATCCCGTTTTTAAAGAAGAATTAACATGAGTTCTATACAATATCTTCCATAAAATAGAAGAGAAGGGAACATTTTTCAATTCATTTTATGAATCTGGAATTATTTGAATCCCAAACCAGACAAAGACAGTATAGAAAAAACCCTACAGTCACAAACATCCTTAATAAAATATTATAAAATAGACTTTAGCAATATATAAAAATAATTATGCACCATGAAAAAGTTGGGCTTATTCCAGGGATGCAAGGATGGTTCAATATTTGAAAATCTATCAATGTAATCCACAGCATTAAAGATTAAAAAATCACATTTTCTTATCAACTGGTACAGAAAAAGCATTTGGCAAAATTCAACACCATTCATGATTAAAAACTCTTAGCAAAATAGGAATAGAGAAGAACTTCCTCAACTAGAGAACATTAAAAACCTATACCTGATATTATACTTAATAGTGAAAAACTGAATGCTTTCCTGTTAAGATCGAGAACTAGGCAAGTATGTTGCATTGACCACTCTAATCCAATGTACTGCTGAAAGTTCTACCCAGTACAATAAGGCAAGAAAAGGAAATAAAAGGCATACAGGTTGTAATGGAAGAAAGAAAACTGCCCCTTATCACAGATGACATGATTTTCTATGTAGAAAATCCCAACAAATCTACAAAAAACTCCTAGAACTAGTAAGTTCAGCAAGGTCATAAGCTATTAAGATAAACTCACAAAACTCAACTGTCTTTATATATAGATTACCAATTAATGTGGTCCCTGAAGTTAAAATATAATATCATTTATAATTGTTCATAAAAATTAAATACTTAGAATAAATCTAACAAAGCATGTACAGGACTTGTATGCTGAAAACTACAAACACTAATGAAAGAAATCAAAGAAAACCAAATAATTGGAGAGATTTACTATGTTCATAAGTGGAAAGACTCAGTGTAGTAAAGATGTCAATATTCTCCAAATTGATATACAAGTTTAACATAATTCCTGTCAAAATCTCAGCAAGACTGTTGTAGATATAGACAAAATTATTGTACAATTCATATGGAAAGGTAAGAAACTAGAATAGCTAAAATGATTTTGAAAAAGAGGAATAAAGTGGGAGGAATCAATCTCTCTTTCAAGATTTATGCTACGGCTACTGGAATCAAGACTGGTATTGGCAAAGAGAGAGAAACATAAATCAGTGGCGCAAAATAGAGAACTCAGAAAGAGACACTCAAAAATATGCCAAATTTAATTTTGGCAAGGACGCAAATGCAATCCAATGGAGGACAGATGGCCTTTTCAACAAATCGTGCTAGAGTAATTGGATGTCCATGGGTAAGAAATGAACTTCGGCCTAAGTCTTACACCTTTGTCAAAAGTTAACTTGAAATGAATCACAGACTTCAATGTTAAATATAAAACTATATAAGATTTAGGAAAAAAACACTGGAGGAAATCTTTGGGATCTAGGGCTAAGCAAAGATTTCTTAGACTTGATAGAAAAAGCATGATCCAGAAAAGGAAAACCGATAAATTGGACTTCATCAAAATTAAACACTTTTGTGCTGCATAAGACCTTGTTGAAAGAATGAAAAGGCAAACTACAAACTGAGAAAGAATGTTTGCAAATCACATATCTGACAAAGGCCTAGTATCTAAAATGTATAAAAAGATTTCTCAAAACTCAACATTTAAAAAAACAAAGTAATTAGGAAAAGGGCAAAAAAAAAAAAAAAAAATGAAGAGTCTTCACCAAAGAAGATAAATTGATGGCAAATAAGCATATGAAAAGATATTCAACATCATTACCTATTAGAAAAATGCAAATTAAAAACACGAGATGTCACTATACATCTGTCAGAATGACTAAAATAAAAAATATAGCAACACCAGCAAATGTTGGTAAGAATTAGGAGAACCTAGATTACTCATACATTGCTGATGGGAGTGTAAAATGATACAGCCACTCTGGAAAACAGTATGGCAGTTTCTTAAAGAACTAAACATGCCACTACTACACAACCCAGTAATTCCAATTCTGAGCATTTATCCCAGAGAAATGAAAACTTATGTTTACACAAAAACCTCTATACAAATGTTGATAGCAACTTTATTAATAATATTTCCAACCTAGATATCCTTTCAATGGGTGAATGATTAAACCAACTTTGGTACATGCATACCATGGAATACTCCTCAGCAAGAAAAATTTACAAACTGTTGATACACACAACAACCTGGATAACTCAAGTGAATTAGGCTGAGTGAAAATACGCAATCCCAAAAGTTTACGTACTGTATGGTTCTATTTCCATAACATCCTTGATATAACAAAGTTATAGAAATGGTGCACAGATTAGTGGCTACCTGAAGGGTTAAGGAGGGAGTGGAGGCAGGAAAGAGGGGGATGTGAGTATAAAATGTCAGTATCCTGATTGTGATATTGTACTATAGTTTTACAATATGTTGCCATTTGGGGAAGTTGGGTAAAAGGTACATGGGATTTTTCTGTATTATTTCTTACAAATGCCTGTGTATCTATAATTATCTCAAAATAAAAAGTTTAATTAAAAAACAAACAAAATCAGCCAGTAAAAAATATATGCCAATTGTGCCAAGGTTGAGAAACCCTTATCTAGAAGAAAAATCAAATAAGAAAGCTAAGAAAGGCTGTCAACCTGGTTGGGAGGCAAATCAAAGAAGATATCATGGAATTCATCATATTTGGATTGAGCCTTGAAGAACATCAAGTTTCTAGGAGCAGAAGATAGGAAAAAATCTTGTGTTGTAAAGAATGGTCAGAAGTTGTGGCATGGTGGCTCAAGGTATCTAGTAGGCATTGACGAGGTAGTCTGGGACCTAGATCAACGAGAACCTTCAATAATAACTGCTGAGTTTCAAATGCCAAGCTCTGAGTTATAAATGTAATTGTTGCTTCTACCAGGGAAGCACTGTTGTTCCCATACTCTTGACAAACAGCTTCAGGGGCAAAGAGAAAACAACAGATCATCTACTGGCCATTCTGGTAGGCCAAATAAACCTAGCAGTGTGGAGTCAGGGCTCCTTGACAGCTCGGTGGTCTTCATGCTTTCATAGGCAGTGAGTGAGTGGCATGATCTGACCTTGGTTTCAGTCATCTATCTGGTGGTTGTTGGTTGTTGGCACCTGCATTAGAAAGGAGAGAGGTCAGAGACAAAGAACACAAGAAGTGATGACAAAGTGCACAGGTCCTGCACTGAGGAAATGGAAAATGGAGCAGAAAATATTAGATGGATAATGGAGACATTTCAGAGGACTTGGAGACACTCACCTTGGGAAGAGAAGTCTCAGCCGATTCTGAAGTTTCTAGTCCAAGATGGAGGTGCCACATCTCAGATGTCCCTTCCTGAGATAGAAACACAGGAAGATAAACAGGTAAGATGGGGAGGAAGGTAATGTGATTGGTTTGAGACACATGATGTGTCCTCGAGGTCCTGCTGGCAATGTCCAGGAGACTTCTCAGTTGGAAATTTGGTTTTATAGCTCAAGAGTTAGAATCAGACTGAAGATGTTTCAGTGGAGATTGGATGAGGTGACTTGAGTGAGAAGAGGTTCAAGAACAGAACATGGGGGAATATCTACCTTCAGGTTAGGGAAAGTGTTGGAAGAGAAGAGATCAGAGATGCAGAAAATGAAACTCTGAAGTCCAGGGAGGAGAATCCCACAGAGAAGATTATATATAGTAGATCCCAAAGCTGCAAAGAAATCCTTCGGGATCAGATATGGCAGAAGGGCATTGATTCGACACTTAGAAGACCTGGAAGGAGCTTAACAGGATGTGAAGGGCTGAGTGCACAGTAGGGAATCAGGCAGGGCGTGTGCTGGCAGATGCCACTAGCCTTTTATTTTTCAATATAATTTGTAATATTATGATTAAACTTATTTTCCTCCCATTAACTTTCTTGCACATGGTGAATTGAATACATACATATGTATGTATATATACATACATTATACGTATAGTTTGTAAAGGAACTAGAACTAATGGAGCCACAGAGAATAACTGAGTGTTGAGAAAGCCTTTTTTTAAAGAGTTAGTCATTTTTAATTCAAATCATTTTGTGTATATTTTGTTTAAATACAGTTTCTGTTATTGGAAACTGAATATTGGTGGGTAAATGGAAATTAAAAGCTTTGAATCTTTTCTTGATTTCAGAACTAAGTTATGGTATTTCCGTGTGTGTGTGTCTGTGAATCTCATGAAAATTATATTTTGTGTTATCCAATAGTTGATTAAACGCTCTTACCCAGTTCTGATTTTAGCTGAATGCCTGTGAATCTCACAGTAAAAGAGTTTTGTTTCACAACCTCTGGGAATACCATGCAGTTGCAGAATATGAGATTTTAGAGGCTGAAACTAACCTGGTAGAAATTCAAATCCATCTTTTATCTTTTAGATAAAAGCCTTTGAAATCCTTTTAGTGTGAAGTTATCAGCAGGCTTGATTCTCATATAACCTCATTACTAACCCAAGGATTATTCAAAATGCATGGAGAGCAAGGCTCTGTCGCTGAACCTCGGTTTTTGTCAATTCTGCAGTCCAGTGATAAGCCACATGTGTCCACCTAGTTCTGCTTGGGAAGTCCAAGATTTGGGTGCCTGCTTGCCCCCATCCCCTTGGAGATCACAATACAAACTCAAAGCTGTCTTAAGTTGTGCGCTAAAGAAACCTGTTCAACTTTGAGCATTTCCAAAACTTATTTAAACACAGAACCTTTGTCCACATTAACATTTCATAACTCACATGAGAATTTTGTAAGATGAGAGGTGGAATGGATACTTTTAAGGGATTTCTGCTTCAGATCTAAGGTCTCTACTGCTGGAAGTAATGGGTATTCTCAATATATCTTTGTTTTATGGCTTGTACTTGGATGAAGTATAAGAAAAATTCTTATTCAGCCTCATCACTGATTGCCTTTCTCCCCCTAGAATGGCAAGAATTGGCTTATTAGGTACTGGGCTCATACTTATTTTCCTGAAAAAAAAAGATTTATATTTGTCTCTACTTTCATTCTATGGAATAGCTTCCAATTAATAAATTAAAAGAGTTTGATATGGACATAAAAGTATGAATAAAAAGTAGTTGTATCAAAGTTCAGCAATTATTTTCAGGCTTACTTAAAACAAGAGAATTCAATACTTGGGGGACAAACCTAATTTCCAAAACTGAAACCATGTAATGATTTACTTATTCCATAAATGTGTGATCTTATCTGCTCAGATTTACATTTGGAGCAATAAAGCCTCGGGCAGCTGCTCCTGGTTGTCTGCAGGAAGAGGAGACAGGAGATAAGGACATTCCTGTTTTTATTGCTTTCTTGAGCATCTCAAGTTGGGATGGGGGTGGGAACGGCGCACCTCTCATGGCCATAAACTTCCGAGTCTGATAGTAAAGAAGCAAACCAGTTCTCTCCGGAAGACATGGCACATCTCTCCGGGCACTGACCTCCATTTGTTAAAACCTGCCAAAGGCTTAAAAATATAAAGAAATCAGAGGAGAGCTACCACCTCCTCTTCATCAGAAAAACAGTCCCTCCAATTTTAAAATATTTTAGAGCTTTGGGAGAATCATTGCCGGGTGCAAAACTTTCAACTTTTCTTGTGAGCTCATAGGGTGACCTTACTTACCCTTCTCCCAAAGAGCTCTCTAGGATCCTGAGCAAGCTAGGGACTGCCTTATTCTGGTCCCAATGACAAAATTCTGGTTGAGGTGCAGTGTGGAGACAGCATTTGGGGGAGGACATTGATGCAGACTCAGTCCAGGTACACCCACCAGTAGTGCCGCCATTGGGAAAGTCCCTGCCCTTAGCAAGACTGTCGGAGGCCACTCGGGTTCCTGACAAGTCAGGGTGTCTAGGAAGATTATTAAAATGCCGGAATTTTCATGACTCCCAAGATGTGTCACTGTGGTCTATATTAGCTCAGTCTCAGGGTCTAAAATTCTCAAGCTTTTTTTCTTTGGACATTAGTATTTTGGTTCAATGCTGTCAAAATTATGACGGAATCTGATGAGGAGTAACTTTTATTGCCTAATAAATAATATCATAGAAGGTCATAATTCCATATTAGCCACTAAATATCCAGAATGTATAAAGCATGCAAAGTTGAGTCTAAGATATGGATGAAAAACAGCTCAGTGACATTTCTTAAGAATTATTCATTTTCTTTTTCAATCTGAAAGTGGAGCAGGAACGTTCTCCTAAATCCCAGGCTTAGAAAGCTGAACACCACCTAGAGGCCTTAAAGAATTACACTGACAAAGCCATTTTTCTTTAGTCTTTAAATTACAAATTTAAAAAAAAATTCTCTGTGGAATTTTGTAGTAAATCTCAAGTTTTCAGACTTCTAAGACTTAGAGGGACCCTAGAAACTCACATCCTGGTCTTCATGTGCCATCCTAGAAAGACCCTGAAATTATGCTCAGGAGAGATGATGCGCCTTAATTTTGGAACGCCTTCATTGTTGGGTTAGCTTTCTTCTGTAATGAATTCTTGGATCCAGCTATGCTCATTGACAAGAAGTTCTTTCTTTTGGATAAAGTCATTTTCTCCAGATAAAATGAATCTATTTTTAATTCTTCTGGCCTTACTTGGGAATAGCTGTTTCCAAAACACACACACACACACACACACACACATCCCAGCCTCTACTATAGTCTTTTATCTCCTTGAAAATCATTGTTACCTGCCTAACTTCTTTTCTTTTAACCCTGTGTTCTTTGTACTTTTTCACCTCCTCATCTTCCTGAAAATTGCTATGACTCTCACCTACTAAATTATCCCTCCAAACCTCTCCTTCCATAACAATAAAAATCAATACAGTGGCAAAATTTGTTGAAAGGCAAAGAGTGATACCGCTGTATCTTGATTTATGGGGATTAGGACAGGCAGAGAGGCCACTGTTCTTCAGAAGGCCCTCCTCCTACCAGGGTGAAGTGGATCTCTCCAAGGATATCTCTGGGATTGGACACGAACTCAACCCAGTGTACATCCCATGTGCTGTTTGATCTTTTCAGGACAGTGGTGTTGACAATCCTGTCATTTCCCTTTCAGGCGGGTTGGGCTAACATTTCCCATCTCCATTAAAATGTATTTTATCTGTTGACAGAGACCAGATACTGCTACACTCAGCACACAATGGAAGTCACAGGAAACAGCATCTCTGTCACCAAACGCTGCGTTCCACTGGAAGATTGCTTGTCCACTGGCTGCAGAGACTCTGAGCGTGAAGGCCACAAGGTCTGGGCAACAAAGCAAGTGACCGGTACAACATAGTCAGCCTTCGTCCGCTCCAGACGCCTGCCAGTGTTCATGAGCAAATTCTTACTCCCCCATGTAGGCTGGCTTTTGTCTGTCTTTGTACCATTATGAGAAGATGCTTCCTTTCCTGTTTGCTCTAAAAGAATAAAAATTTATAAGAGGGCATAGGACAACCAGTATAAGTTATGTAAACACAACACCAAGAGGGGATTGAAAATTATTGTAAGCCCTTTCCTCACTCAGAAGAAAGTAATAGAACTACCAGAAGGAAGAGGAGCAAGGGATCAATGGTAAAGCATTGCAGATGTACCAACAATTCATTCATCTGGGAATGGCCACAGCAATTTAGCTTTGATAACTGTCTATAAAGTGAGGCTTGTGTCTTTATTGGGATGCTGATTTGGGGAAGGTATCCCTTGGCTACTGAATCATTTGAGTAGGTGATGAGAGAACCATCTCCTTGTGGGTTTGCTTCCCTTAAACTCCATCTGGTGCCTGTATAGAAGCACTCAGTGTGAAAGGAACTTCGAGGGCAGCCTCAAAGGAGAATAGAAAGAAGCAGAGAGTGGTGGTCCGACTCATGCTTGGAGTGGGGAATGCGCTGACTCTCCTGCTGGTTGTGCAGAGCTGGCTGTACATATGATCTTGTACATCAGGCCTTGGTCTTTACTTGGAATCTGCCTGCGTCTCCCCATCAGGCTGCCTTCCTGGTGGTTGGGAGCAACTCCCATTCTCAGTACCCTGGAATGGCACTGTTAGTACGGGCTTCTTTCTCTTAAGAAGACACCCAATTTTCAAGCAACTTGTCAAATACATTAAGAATTACATTTTAAAATATAATCTGCCTACTTGTTCCTGGCTTGAAATATTAAAAGAAAACCCAAGGGCTTTACCAACCTGCCCCTGTGCCACCCCCACACCTCGCTCCCCACCCCCCCAGCAAGTTAGGCTTGGCTCTCAGGCATTATTGTGGCTACCTTACCAAGGAGGAAGTTATAGATCAAAGAAGTGACATCATGTGCTCAGGTCACACAGCTGGTAAGTGACAGAGACAGACTTCAAACTCACTTCTGACCTCGGTTTTCTCTCCTCAACATTATGATGTCTTCCTAACCTGTGTCAACTGCGATCAGACTCAGATCTCTGCAGGATAATGACTATAGGATACGAACCATTATAAAGCTCTTCAAACATTACTGTGCAAATGAATCACTTGGGGATCTTGTTAAAATGCAGACTCTAATTCACTAAGTTTGGGGCCAGCTTTGAGATCCTGCATTTCTAATAAGCTCCCAGATGATGCTGAAGCTGCTGATCTGTACTTCCTGTAGCCATGGCCTAAAATAATATCTGTCAGTAATCCTTTGGTTTTCTTTCCTTCTTATGATCCATGAATAAAGTAGTATAAAGCAAGAGTAATTGCATTAATGAAAACCCTTCAAACTTTAACTCGTCAATAAGAATGGAGATAATTATGCAGATAGTTCTAATGATAGTAAATATCGAAGTTTAAATTAGTTGGGTTGTTGCCACTTGACTTTCACTGTGAAAAGTTGGCAAGTGAAAGTTTATCCTCTTAACAGCTTCCTCAAGTAGTTGGAAAGAGCCTCTTTGAGAAAGGTAGGGTATTACAATCCCCATTTCACAGATGGAATAGCTGAGACCTAGAAAGGTTGGAAAACTGTATTAACCACATGGTGGGATGTCAAAAACAGAACCCATGTCCCTTGAATCTTAGTCCAGGGTGTTTCATTTTGACCACATTGTTTCCAGGTGAAATTTCATCCCACCCCCTTAAATGCAGGGTTGGTGTCTGTTGTAGGACAGGTAATTTTCATTTGTCTTGCTGTGAGGGAGACAGTTCCTTCAGAAATTCCTGCCTCCTTCCAAGACCTGCCAGCTGCTCATCACCTTTTTGTTCTTCCTTTCTTTCAGGTCTGCACTTCCTGTTGTGAAGGAAATATCTGTAACTTGCCGCTTCCCCGAAATGAAACTGACGCCACATTTGCCACAACATCACCCATAAATCAGACAAACGGACACCCACACTGCATGTCAGTGATAGTGTCCTGCTTGTGGGTGTGGTTGGGACTCACATTATAGCAGCTCAAAGGCGTCATGTATAGTAGCGATCCCTGGGGATCTCAATGGTCCATAGTCATGCATGAGTCGTTGGCCTGACAATAGTTACACACGTGAAACCACAATACTCACAGATGTCTTCATGGCCAAGCATTTCCACTTGTCATGAGGAACAAGCATTGCTTCAGTGTAGTCATTTCAAGTTCAAGACCTCATCAAAGCCAGCCTGCCCCCAAACAAACCCTGCGTTCTATACCACAAACCTTTGTATTCACACTGGGAAATAGTTCTGCATTTATTGAGCTCTGGGGCTCTTAATCTGGAATGTGTGTGTGAGCTACAGGAGGTCCTGGGACCCTCTGAGATGTTAGGCAATATGTTATATGGACATGCGTAGATGTGTGTTTTTCAGGAGAAAGGTAAAGGACCACTGGTTTAAATATAATTATGAATTCATTTATAGCTTTAGAATTTTAAGACTTTAATTCAAAAATGAATGGACTATTTCCGGTGAGATTCTGAATGAGTCTTGAAAAAGTAGTAAGCAATTGTCCAATTTAATTTTCCCAACATTTTTCTTGCAGTAGTGGGAATCATATTCCCTCTGCTCTGTGTGGGAGATAAAAAGGCAATACATACAAGTTTGTTGTATGGGGAGAGCGGTGGATGAAGAAGGGTTTTTCCCAACTTAACGGAACTAGCATCCATAAACTAGCTATATCTCTTCATATAACTGGTGAGATTGGCCTTGATTTGGCACCTAATTGTGCTTCGTGAGATCTTGGATTTTACCTGCACCAATGGGTATCCAAAGAGTCCCAAAGCGGGCTGGGGTTGTTCTCTTCAGTCATGGGGTTCTGTTCAGACATAACTAATCTTGAGAGAGATTGGATTTCAGAATGAGAGGAAAGAGATGTGTGCAGGTTGATCCTAGTTCATGGTGAGGGCCCAGTAAGTAGCTTAGCTAGATCATCTTCCATCTGCACTTCATACTGCCAAAGAGCCCTCCATTCCTCCTCTTTCAAATCCCCAGTGACTTTAGGGGGAAGATTCAGCATTAAGCTGATAGGGAAAGAAGACATAATATCCTAGGATGAGCAGTAAGTGGACCAGTGGAGTGATCGTGAGACTAGTAAGGAGACCCAATGGGAAGTTTTTATTCTTTTAAATGATTGCTTTTCAAGTAGATAGTAAAATTTTCACCATCCTTCCTATATTTTGGGCACCCCAAGTTATGTTTTTTTCTTCTTCCTTGTAAATCATTTATACAATATTTATTTTTGTATGGCATAAACTAAAATATATTGTAAAAAATTCTTTATTCTGACAAAACGATCAAATTAGAATACTTATTTTTCAACAGTGGTAGAGATTGTAATATATGGTTGTTGAAAGTTATCTATAATACTTGCACCAGTGTTGAAAAAAGTTAACTTATGTTGTGAGCAAGAGTAAGGTGTTGGCCTCAAGGTTTTTGCCCATGGTTTCCCCGTGGTGTTGTCTCAGAAGATTTCAGGTGGTGACCGTCACTACTATGAGTTTCTCTGTAGGGTTATGGGGCATATTTGCATGAAATTTGGTAGAGCCATTGCTCATAAAGTGGAGAGTGTTGTCAGGGTCCATCTACCCTACCCAGGAAAATGTCTCTGGCTCATAAAATGAGACCCCCTCAGGGACCAAATATGAACTGACAGTGGTAACTCTGCTGCGGAATAATCTAAATTGCATCAAATGGCCTTAAATCAGTTTTGTAGGCTTGTCAATATGTTGCTTATAATTGGAGTGGGGGAAGGAGGGAGAGAGAAAGCAAGACATTTATTAAGCACCTCTTATGTGCCAGGCACTATGCTAAGCACTTTACATAAGTTTGGTCATATAATCCCTGCAAGCCCCCTGAAAGGAGTATTACTAGTATTTACACTTTACAGATGAAGGTACTGAGGCTCAAAGGAGCTCAATAACATGAAGCCTTTTCCTTCCGATTTCGGTTATATTGGGTGAGGTGGGATTAAAGAGGAAGGGAAGGTGGAATTACCACCCCTAGGAAAACTGCCAAGCCTGACCAAGAAATTTGTCCATCTTATCACGTGGAGTTTGTCTGGTCCTGCCTCTGCAGGATGCCATTTGCATGTGTCCCCAGATGGTGTTTTTCTTTGGGGGGTGGAGGTATGGCTTCCTCATTCATTCCTCTTGCTAAAAGAGGAGACAGGTTAATCCTACATCTAAAGATGCTATAAAGACAATGAAAATTTGATGTTGTACATATCTACAAGTACCATTTTTTGCATGGTCACTCTCCACTGACACCTTCCAAGTACTGCATGCGATTTGAGTAAGAGAAAAAGTCCAAATGTTGGTTCTTAACGAAAAAGCGACTACTCCAAAGCCTCCCTGGCTGGTGTGCAGGGACCAGGTCTACAATGGTGCGAACTCATCTGCCACCCAGGGAGTCACTGCACATTCCACACGGATGTGGCTATGTGCACCCCGTGTGCCTGTCAGAATGACTAGTATTTCATTCTCTTGAAAGAAAATGGTTTGTTCGCCATCCACAGCCTCACGGAGCCAAGGAAGGGCCATTCAGGTGGAAGGCCCAGGACTGGTCATCCATCTGACTTTTCCACCACATTAAACTTTACATTACATCCCACCACTAGTGACGCGGCCTGAAGTGCAAAGAGCCGCGATATGTATATTAACCTATGTGCCACTTATTTATTTTTAGACTCCTCACGGTGTTCATGTCAATATGGGATTAATGCCTAAATTGTGTAAATATTGTACATTTTGTAAATCAATGAATAAAAGTTTTAAGTGTATCTCACCAGGCTCCTCCCTGCAAATGCACATGTCAATCAATGATTAAGGCACCCAGTTAGCTTCAGGGCTCTTAGTGTCCCAGGGAACTTCCTTCCAGGAGTTCACTTTCTAGTGGTACAGACAAGAAATACGTGCATGAAAAGATATAAGACAGTTCACCCATGCCAAATGATTCATAGAGACAGTAAGTCCTGCAGAAAATCAAGGAAGGAAAGATTACCAGACTTTTCAACCAGGTATGCGGTTTCCCTAGAACATTTTCTTTGTTAAATCAGGAAACAAAAAGATGATGTGAGTGTGTGTATCTGTATATCCAAATACTACCACATCAGTTCTTTATTTTTATATTTTATTCTCTTCTTGGGGTGAATTATGTTAGTGATGATACAATAGGAAGCATTTTCCCTTGGTGGTTTCTTCTGCAATAGGCAACAAATATTTGAGTAGTATAAATGTCATTTTCATCTACGCAATGAATTTATTGTATTCTTCTTAGTAAAATGATAGACATTGAAAGTGACCTTGAAAATCCTCCAGCTTGTTTGTCATTCATAGTTATTTAATGCCCTATATTTTGAAATTCTCAGGGAAATACATGTTTTCTCCAAAGTTAGAGGTTTTCTTTAGGATCTGGATCAGTGACATGGTTGGTCCTCATTAAAGTGTTGTACATAGATGAAGATAGCTCTTATCACTAACTTCTATGAATAGCTCTGTGAGTTTCACACTTAATGTAAACGGCACTGTGAGTAGACTGTGCTTTTAGAAAACCTGATTTTGAAAACACAGACTTACACAGTGACCCAATTTTGGGGGTTATAAAGGATCCTTCACTTTATAAAGGCATTTTATATCTCTTTTCTAACACATTTATAAGCTTTTATTTATAAACAACATTTAGAGCATACCAGGTATGTAAAGCCAGATGTGGTACCTTGCCTACATTATGGTAACTTTTATGTGACTACTTAAAGCACTTTCACAAATCTTTTTAATAAATTACTTTTAATTTATCTACTAGGAGTGAAATATGTGAAAACTCCTTTAAGCATGTGTTACTAATCCACATTACTGTAATTGGGAAAACTTGACCTTAGAGATTCAGCTATTTTTCTAAGCTTGCGTAGCAACTTGGGAGCAGGACTAAGGCATGACGGTGAAGCCTCATGACTTTAGCCTGGAGTGTCTCCACTGTTATCTACTGGGAAAACAGGTCTTTTTTTTTTTTAATGTAATAATTTTTAATATATTTTGGTGTTACAAAACCAGTGCAGATTTCCAAAATGCCTTTCAAATCAAGCCTTCATTTTCAGCATTCACTCTCTTTAGCTAATTTTAAAAGTATAGCTTTTCCCATTAGCACATTACTCTTGTCTTGCTCTTACTTTTGGCAAATTCTAACTCCAATGTAGTTGCTGGAACTGGATAGGGGAAGAAATCTCTATGTAGCTATATTTTAAGCTCACGAGAGACCTAAAATCCAGATGTTAAGAAATGATTTCTGAGGGAGTCTCTGTGCTCCTCTCCTACTAGCAACTTCTGATTCTTGTATATGATTTTATTTTCCAGGCACTTTCATTTATATATTGCTTTAGTTGATCAACATGGCGCCATTTACAGCTTTCACAGCTAAAGCTTTGGAATGGTTAAGGGGGGTCCCACTGGTGGTTTATACTACAAGGACTTTGATTCCTGTTCCAGGACTCTTTGTTCCATACACAGTTGTCACCAGGGTGACACGCATGATGGCTCCATCCTTCTTGGCACTTTTACTAAAAAGCCATTTCTCAGGTCACAGAGTTAGAGGTGAATGGGGCCTTAGAAAATTTCTAGTCCACTCCATTTTATACAGGAGGAAAAAGAACCCCAGAGAACCCAGACCATTTGTCTCTGAGAAAGGCACATTGCTTGTGTTAAAGAAAAGAAAAAATTCATCAAAATGTCCCTTCTTTGATGCTCAATGTAATTAAGACACGGGTTATAGACAATAGTTCAAAAGTTTCCTCTTCCTTCACACTCACTGTGGGACTGGCAGTACCATGAGACCATCAGCAGAGGAAGGGCAGAAGATAAATTTGGAGAGGGCAAACTTAAGCCAAGAAAGCAAGCTAGCCTGATGGAAACATAGTTGTTCATTCTAACTTGAGAAGAAAGATACTAAATTAAGTGGAAATAATCATTTTCAGAGTCATAGGCTAAAAAAGCAGAATGATTTGTCTAAATTAGAGATTGTCAGTTTTTCAGAAATGGTTTTCTCAGGGTTTATGGCACGTCCAATGTCAGAAACCAGCCTCAAAAGCTGTATTTGGGTCTGGAATTCAGGCTTCCTCTGAAGTCCTCCTATGGAAGTGACCGGGATCATTTTGTCAAAGTGGGGAAAGTGTGTATGAAAAGCAGCTCTGTTGACTTTAAGCAAAATGAACAAAACAGCACCAGAATATAGGCATGATGCAAAAGGAAGGCTAAAAATGTCAGACCCTCAATAAAGCCATTCATCTTTGAGAAGAATCCAGAATCGACTTACTGTCTGACTCCTATTCTCTCTACAGAGGAACGTGACTGTTTAGGTCACAGGGAGTCTGCACTCAGAGTCTGAGTACACCCCACACCCCGTCTGCCCTCTCCTGGGTGTTCGCTGCGTGATGGCTACTGGTTCAGCTTCATGGCTGCCTGCTAGCGTGGCTTTGCCTCCACCCCAGCCTCTCCCAGCAATAAAACAACGAGGGCCTGCATTACACAGTGCCATGTGAAGATGAGTGGTTTGAGGACAGGGATCAGGCTTGAGGGGCTTTGGGTGAAAGGGTGCTGAGTAGACCTCAGTGGTCTGAGAACACATTTGGGCTCACTCGTGACTCACTCAGCCTGGCTTGGCCCTGGCATATGTCAGAACTGGGCTTATCCCTTCCTTTAAAGTCTTTCTAAACACTCAAAGGGTTGGGCCCCTCCCTGACTTTAATATCGTATTTAAATAATTAATGACCCTGCATATGTTTTGCCACTGACCTAAATACCAAGTGTATTATGTAGAGATGCACCCTCCTTGATGCAAGAGATCCTGAGACCAATGTGAAATGCACAATCAGACCTCCCAGGAACTCTCTTTCTTCAAAGTGAGATAATCTAAAGAACTGAAAGGCCTATTTGGAGTATTAAAAGTCTGCGAGAAAAGCATAGCTGGTGTGGTTAGGCGAGGCTAAGGTTGAACATGTTGAAAACAGCTGACATGAGTATCTAGTCAAATTAGCCAGCCCATTGCCACCTTCATTTTATAGGGAGGGGACAGTGAAGGCCTCTCTGCATAGCCACCTCAGGAGCTCCAAGCTACCGAGGCAGCCAGCTAGGAACCTGTTTTGTGCTAGGGTCCCCAAGTCCCCCATTCAGTGGTCCTATCCACTGAACAAACGGAGTAGACAAATCCCGCCTGAAGTTCTCAGGAGACTCAGAGATGAAGGGAACTCACCCTTTCATACACAGAGGTGAACACTGGACTCAGCTGGGAAATGCTTCTTTTGAGCATGACCCTGGATAACTTCACTTTATTATTTTCAACCTGGGGCACTTTATTCCTGGTACTTACATAAAGGGAATGATAAAGCTGAAAGACCAGGGCAAAGTTTGGAAGGCCTGAGAGAGCAAGTTGCACGAAAGATTGTAGATCACTGCATTTAACAACATTCATCTGACTTAGAGAGCAGTGCAGAGAGCAGTAGTGACAGTAGCTGAAGACACACCGCCCGCCACCCATCTCTGCTGGAGAACAGTGACAAAGGCCTCTGCAGGGAGGGCAGGGGTGGCTGGCTGGCTGGAGTTCCCCTATATGAACTAGGCAATGATAGAAGGCCAACATTACTGAGATTAGTGCAGATGTCACAGAAAGAGCAAGGGCCTGTTGAAACTCAAACATATGCAAGAATTAAATCTCTCAGACCTGGGGGAAGCAGGAATGCCTGGCGGTACTTGAGGGAAGAGGGTGGAACGGAGGGAAGTAGATGCTCCTGTCCTAATTCTGCACCCTCACCCTGAGGCCTGGGATTTGATATCCTGAGACCAAACCTCAGTGTATCCATGTCACCGAGAGCCCACAACAGTGGGTCTCAATGCCAACTACACATTAGAATCACCTGGAGTCTTTCTAAAAATTATAATGACCAGGCCCCATGTCCAGTCATTCTAATATGGTTGGTCTGGGGTGCTTTCAAACAGCAAATGGTTAGGAAAGCTCCCCCTGCCCACCGTGACTCCAATGGGCAGCCATTAGCTCACAGATATGAAAGGTTAAACACTGATCAGGGATGATCAATAAATAATCACAGAAGCAGCAAAGACCAATCTAGAAAAATAAATCATGGACAAGTCCATTGGTAACTAACCTTCAAGTTATAGTCATCTACCGCTAATTGCCAGCTTCTCCCAAGACTGACCTGATAACTTTCCTAAAACTCAATGTCATGACCCTTTGATGCCCATCCCTCCCTACAAGCTAAGTCTTTTCATCAGCCAAACACCTGCTCATTCTTCATGTCTTAAATTCATTTTCCCTGGGGAGTCTTCTCTCACCTCTAAAATAAAGTGGAGCCCTCCTTAGATTAACTGCTGTAGAACTCTCAACTACTCCCTCATGATGCTTTACTCACTTATAATAATTTAATTAGTTATTATTATGACTCCCCACTATACTGTAAGCTCCAGGATGATGGGTAATATCTCCTTTTTATTCCCTGCTCCATTCCAGGTATCTGGTACTCAGAGGACACAGAATAGACATTTATTAATTTACCAGGCCAAACTGATATAACAGGATCTTGCCTATATCACATTCCCTGTGGATGTAGTTCCTATAAAAAAACGAATCGTGGCCAAGTGCATGCATAGGAGGGTTAGTCTCCACTAGCTGATCCTGTCTAGTTATGACAGCGACCTAGCCCAGAAGGAAGAAGTAATTCATTTAAACTAGGAGCAACCGACCTTAGAGGTAGACTGCGGGGATTAGAGATGTTTATTTCCCTCTAGTGCAAAGACCTTGACCAAGAGGTCCTTGCCTTACCAGGACCGATCTGTAGAACCCACTTCAGTTCTTAGCTTCTACCAACATGTTGCTTTATCAATGGCTTGAACTTGGAAATTGCAGGTACTTGGGGCTGGAGGGCTTTACGAAGTACTTAGTCCAACCCCTCTGTCCACTGTCTTCAACACTACAACTTTCCCCTCATTCTACACAGATGGCACGCCTCCTACTTGATACGGAAAATAGAAATGAGAACACTTCCACTTACTGCCACCAGACTGTGCACCTCCTTCCACCTGCACTGACGCTCTTTCTGACCCTCCACGGATGTGGATGAGGTTAATTTCTCCTGTGCCCAGGACCCCCTTCCTTCCGCCCTCCTCCGGGACCTCACTGTATAGATCGTTCTCCACCCCCAAATCTTCAGCTTCTTCCACTCAGCTATGTCTCTCTCATCCACATCTCTCTCATCCAAATATCATTAAAAAAAAAGCGAATCTATTTGAACCCTACGGCCCCCTCCAGCTACCCACTCTCTATTTACTACACTCCACAGCCAACCTTGAAAAGTGGCTATGCTCTTTGTCTTCATTTCCTACCACCCACTCACTCCTCACCCCACTGCAATCTGTCTTCTGACCCCACAGGGCATTCATTTAATTCACTAATGGAGGACAAGCTGCTCAGCCCAGTGTCACTTCTCAGTCCTCTTCTCACTGCTCCCTCCTTGTTGAATCACTTTTCTTGGCTTCCGTGAACCACTCTCTCTGAGGAGCTTCCCTACTTACCTTTGTTTTCTAACTTTCCTTTGATGGACTATCCTCCTCTACACAAATTTAAATGTCCACGTTCCTCAAGGTTTGGCACTAAGCCTCCTTCTCACTCTGTAATCTCTCCTAGGTGATTCCTCCTGCTAGTTATTAATATTTCCAGCCATTTGCCAGTGGCTGCCAAATGTCTATCTTCCCCTCAGACTCCTCCTGTGTGTTCTAGAGTGCTCTCCCCAAA